ATCCATTCTTAGAATCATCCAAGTAGCCCTACACTGTGAACCCTTTCAAATAGGTCAATATCCATTCTTAGAATCATCCAAGTAGCCCTACACTGTGAACCCTTTCAAATAGGTCAATATCCATTCTTAGAATCATCCAAGTAGCCCTACACTGTGAACCCTTTCAAATAGGTCATTATCCATTCTTAGAATCATCCAAGTAGTCCTACACTGTGAACCCTTTCAAATAGGTCAATATCCATTCTTAGAATCATCCAAGTAGTCCTACACTGTGAACCCTTTCAAATAGGTCAATATCCATTTTTAGACATAAGACAAAAACTGTACACAATGTTCCAAGTGCGACAGAGATTAATTGATAATAATCTCTTTTAACTTGTAATCAATGTCAAGTGAAGAAATGTTGATGTATCACACCCAATAATAATATATTAAAAATAAATCTCAGAATTGATAATAATCTCTTTTAACTTGTAATCAATGTCAAGTGAAGAAATATTGATGTATCACACCCAATAATAATATATTAAAAATAAATTTCAGATTTATAGAACCAATAATAAAGTAGTTTCACTTTTTTTTCCTGCAACTAATATACCATGGATCCAAGCCTGGACTAAACCCGAGTGTCATAATTTCTTTGACTCACATTTTCACTTCCTTCTGGATTCATTTCATTCTGATGTGCTTCAGAGGTTTTATCAGAATGATGTACATGTGTGTGCATCATGCTATTTAGTCAATAAATAAACTGAGAAATTAATTTCAAAACATTTCCTGAAATACATAAACTAATATATATTTTTTACACTTTTTTTCCTCTTATGTTCTACATTTTCATACTTATTTTTTCTTGCTGCAGCTAAACATGAATTGGGAATGCTTTAACAATATGTTCCTTTTTGTTTAAGCCAAGATAGTTAGATAGGGCAAACTACATACAGAAAAGTTCAATTGAACTGAATCCTTACATCAAATTCATGAATGTTACTGCCCCAAAATGTTACTTGCTTACATTCAAAATAGGTGAAAGACTGTATTTTAAGTATAACTGGTGGAAAAAAAAAGTCATTACTATTCATACTATTACTGAGCAACAACAACAAAATTATTAGTAAGATATTTATGGTATATCTGAATAAGAGAAATACATTATTAAAAATCATGACACCTATAGTATGTCCACCTTTTGATGTATCAATTATATTTTAATTACCACAGGCTGTCTGATGCTCAATACTCATGTGCAGCTTTCAACCACAGCATCGTGTGAAAATAAAAGTTAGAATCCTTAGTATAGATAAAGATAGCAGCAACTCGGTGCATTAGAAAAGTGCCATTATACAGCACGAGTGTTCCATAAAATTTGGCAAATAATAATATAAAAATATTCAAGGAGCCTTTACTGCATGGAAAATAGAAATGTTTTAATAACAAAACTTCATTGTATATACTTTGACTTTTTTAATTTCTACTTCATATGTTTTACTATTTATCGGGCACACTTCTTCTGTTAGCCCCTCCCTCCTGAAAAAAAAAACAATATGCTTTGTTTCCACACTTAAAATGCTTAACATAATTGCATGAAATTTGATACACACTTTTGACATAATGTCTAATTTGTTCTTGAAAAAATTATATAATTTGTTTTAGCATTTGTGTAATATTTTAGGTTTTAAATATTTGGAAACTTTATTGCCAAACTATTTTAAAAAACAATAACAAATACTTCCTTTCATTAGATTTTATTTGTTTGCAAATGTGTGTGTGTGTGTGTGTCTAAAACCATGTAAGTATATCAAAGTTATTTTTTTCAGTAAACCTATAATTGTTTGGTAAACATTGTCCTAGTAACATTATACTCATTTCCTCATCTGTACACACAAGCTCTTACACACAATGAAAGTATTAGAAACTATGAAAGAAAGAAAACTAGATTTTTAAAAATATATCAGAAAGTTCCATTTAATATATCCAACGAGTTCTAAATTGTTTTATTTTCATTAATTATTTATATTTGTTATTTATCTTTATCTACTGAAGTACTTGTGTAGTCATGGAAACAGCATAAAACACCAACAAACAGTAAAAGCATTGACCGATAGAAACACGACTTGCATTTGTATCCTAGGCCTACAATGATAGAGACAATAATTTCCCACTATATTTTTGGTCAAGCTCAATTTCTTTTTAAAAATTATCTTTGCTTTCAATAAATAATAGGCTCTTACATGGGCTGAGTCAGACTAATTTTACAAACACACACAAATTAAAAAGCTTTTGTGTAATCTAAACCACAAAACTTCAATCTTAATGTAATTACTAATCTTAAATATCTTTACGTGATGTTTCCTCACAGAAGAATATTCCTGTGGCTTTCACACAGACATACTATAACTAAAGGTAAACCAATTAAGATTTTCTTGGGTAATACCAATAGCCAATGATTAATCAACCAATACCAATATTTACTAGTAGTGCAGATAAGATAAGTTAAACAACGGAAATAAATTAAAATTTAACTTGTGGGTACTTTTTTCTGGTTGCATTTATTGTTTGTTTGTTTTGAATTTCGTGCAAAGCTACACGAGGGCTATCTGTGCTAGCCGTCCCTAATTAACTAGAGGGAAGGCAGCTAGTCATCACCACCCACCACCAAGTCTTGGGCTACTCTTTTACCAACGAACAGTAGGATTGACCATCACATTATAGTGCCCCCACGGCTGAAAGGGCGAGCATATTTGGTGGGACAGGAATTCGAACCCGGACCAGCATATTGCGAGTTGAGTGCCCTACCCACTTGGCCATTCTGGGCCAGGATACATTTATAACAAAAATTCACAAGTCAATATTTATTTGTTGTATTCAGTTCAGAAAATGCATAAAAAAATAACAATAATAAAAATCTTTTAGAAAACATTTTGCATTAATGTTCCAGTACATATGGCAAAATAAAAACACATAGAAATACATCAACTTTTGAACTTTATCTACAACATTACATAAGGAACTTTATACATGTAAAGTTAAGTATTAATTTAGTCACAAAATAGTCAGCATAATACAAATGAAAAATACAAACCTGCAGTTTGACGTGATGTTATCAGTATTATTAAGCCTATTAAAAATAAAAAGATATGTATTCTGGGCATTTGCAAAGATGAGATAACAAACAATGGATTGCATATACTTATGAATAAGTAATGAACACTTACTGCATATGATCCTATGAGGAAAGCAGCATTGACACGCATCTTACTGTCACACGATGTATAATGAATAATCTTCTTTTTTGTCAAAGAATAAGACTATATAAACAATATAATCATAAGAAACATCAGATACACTAAAGGAGTTACATAAAATTAAAATTTCACTGACTAAGTACTTACACTTTCATATTGTTAGCATTATAGTATAAGGTACAACAGAAGCAAAAATATCAGTTTTATGAAAAAGTTATAACGAGATAATTATTTATAGGTGCATTTTAAACAATCATGAAATGAAAATATGTTGTCATAACACACTATCTGTTTTAACATACACTGGTTATGCATTCAAACCTCATACATTAATCCACAACTTCCAATCAATTTTGAACACATTGATATGCAATGCTTATCTCGAGACCTTCCTGTAAAACATTTATTTATGAATAGTTTTTAATTTTCAGTATTATATAAATACAAATGAATTTTTCCTGTGCAAATCATGAGTGCTTCGAGTGATACATTAGGACATTTAAATAGAAAAACAAAATAAAAAACATTTACACTTTAATATTATGAATATTTGCATTATATTAACAAAGTTATGAATTGTGTCTAAAAAAGAAAAAACTACATAACTCAACAATGTTAAAAATATTTGTTTTAATTTCTTTTTTGCTTTAGCATAAGATCCCCATCATAATCATCAAGTATGGTCTTCTAGTTTTGTACTCGATAATTTTCCATAACTGCCACGCCTTTAACTGCCATCTCTGTTTAGTTCACGCATCTCCAAATGACCACAACAAATGACAAATCTATTACTATGCTCTTTAACACATTTTATTAAATGATAATTTTCCACTTTCCCCAGGAGTAGTTAAAAGTGGAATGTGACATGTGACTGATTACAGCCTTTCAAGTATGTAACAATTACCACATGTTATTAGGTTTGTGCATGTGCCTACAGTTCCACATGCAACCACACGTGTCAAATGAAAAGGACTGGCTATACAAATTGGAATATTTTGTTATATATATATCTCTACTAAGTTACTTTTAGGCACTTACAGAGGCAGGGTAACAAAGTAGTTGTGTACACATTTATAATATGAGCCAAACGATTTGGTTGGTACCCAAAGATTTTACAGACAGGAACATTCGTAAGTTATCCATCCTCTACTTTAAAATTCAGTTTATTGCTAGTGTGGCAATTATAAAATATATAGAGTTCATTTTAATTCTTTCTGAACAAGAAAGAAAACAATATCTATGATGCCAGCATTACATTCTTTGAGAATTGTTTTTCCATCACTGTTGAGAAACCACAATATGGAAGTACACAACTGTATATCCATCAGAATCTTGAATAAAAACAATCCCTGGTTCATAATGGCTGGAGACGGCTTGAATGGGTAATGAAGAAAAACTTATATTAAAGTTTTTCTTCATTACCCATTCAAGCCGTCTCCAGCCATTATTAGTCTCAAAGTGGGTTCCTCGTCATCGAATTTGAATCCCTGGTTCAGTTACAGCCTCTCCCCCACCCCCAGTCCTCAAGACTTCTGTAAGGTTTAGAGTATGTCCCAAATATGTTGGACATTCAACTACCCTGCACAGAGGTTGTTATGCACGTTTTCCTATTTAAGAAACACTTATTTCGATTGTTAGCAGAAACAGGTTGTTTACCAAAGTAAATTTATTTTGTACATTGTTCCAGTAGAAATGGAGATTCCTGGCCTATTATCCATCAATTCAGGCACAGACAGGTATCTGTTAACCCAAACAATCATTAGTACTTCCTCCTATCTCTGTTTGACAGCTCTCTCTCTCATATAACCACATTTTGCTAATTATTAGACAAAGTGCAAAGTTTTTCATTTGATAAAACAAATAGAAAAAAAAATTACATTTTTTGGCACAATGTTTTTTTATTAATATAATAACACAATGTGTCTGAAAAGAAATTAAAACAGCATAGATTTTGAAAACAGTGACCTTTGCCAATCCAGTCAACTTTACCATTCTTGAAATTGACACACTCACCATTTGAGCCCCAAGAATAACAACTCATTTGGATTATAGGGAAAACTGGAGCTCATACAATTTACCGTTCATATTTATTGCCCCCATGGTGTTTTCGTTCTCTAACATGTAAATACCTACTTTGTATAAGACCAGTCTATTTGAATATTTTGGCCAGTGGGTGCAGAACCAATATAATCAACAGAGTGAAGCTCTGCTCAAGAGGAAAAAACTGCTCAGGATAATAAAAACTTTTGAAAATGGGGGGGAATGACATAATTATCAGCAACTGAGACATTTTTTTCATTAATCTATATTCTTAAGGAATCTAATACATTATTAAAAAGAACTATTATTACTAATTACAACTAAATTAGCATTAATTATTTAATAAGGCATACCTTTAATTTTTTGTTCAACTTGCAACAATAACGATAAAGCATACCCAAATTAAGAGGTCCAAAATCAGAATAGAAACTGAAAGAACAAATTAAAATGATTAAAATACAAAAAGAAACCTGTAAATTAACTATAAAACAATTACACAACAAACAGTTGTGAACTGGAAACCTTTTTATTACCAAACTGTTACTAATTACAAACCATAGAAAAAAATGCTATGTGGTCAATGACCTTAGGAAAGCCATGTGACTAAAACACTGACCATTCTTTTTTTCTCCTTCAAGCATTTTAATCTCCTTTTCTTATAATTTCAGATTTTATTATAATGTAGCTGTACTTAATATTAACTTCTGGTGAGAGCAAGATACATAGGAGTATTATTCATATTGACAAATGGATACTAATGTAGCAATGAAACTAAAAATGCTATAACAGGATCTTTATTCTATCAATGTTTTGACCATTAGTTTTCCTTGTAGTTGAAACGTTGAGAGAATAAAGACCCTGTTATATCATTCTTAGTCTCATTTCTACTTCAGTATCCAAGCTACATACTTAGAATGAAACTAAAAATCAACCAGCCAATGAGCATAGCTAATGAAATAACCCTTCTTACATTTCTATTTATAAATACTAGATAGAATGCATTGTTTCATCAAGTGGATACCCATGCTGTTAATGATATTTTGGGTCATAATCCCAATAATATCTCATTAGGTTAGGCCAGTTTATGAAATTTAGGTTAGTCCCAAATACATATATTAGGCTAATAATGCAAAACCATCTTCATATTAAAAGTATTAGCTGAATGCCTGTCATATGATGATAAATTCTACTTAATTTGTCTTCTGAAAATGAAATCTAAATAAATGTTTTATGAACATGTTTTCTAAAAATGTGTATTTTAGTAATAATATATGTACGAATAATACATATCCTTTTTCTAGTATTTTACACAAACATCATCTTTTGTGTACATTTGACCATATCCTGTAACTTGATCTTGATTATAATTTATACTTATGTATGTTATTTTCAAATCTGCTTCTTGATAAAGCCTTATTTAGTGAACCCTGCAACAACAAAAAAACTGGTTTTCAAATAAATATTCCTATATGATCAAATGTCTGAACATGCTATTTATTGTGATGGCAATGGCAAATAATTTTATGGTGAAGAGCAAATACACAAAGGTCTAACTTTTCTTAAAAAATGCTTATAAATGTTTTGATTAAATTTTAAAAAATCTCTTACCTTAGGTGAAAAACATCATTAATGTATTGTAGCACCATCTATTGGGTTGATAAGACATTTAAGTAGTATTTGACACATACAGTGACTGGTGTTTATTGTGTAACATGATATCATCCCTGATTTGATCAATAATTGTACTTGTATTTTTTTGAATATTCAAATATCTTGTTGCTATGTCAATGTTTCAACTACAAGTCTTCTTCAGGAGTCGAAACGTTGAAAATAAAAAGATCCTGTCATAGCATTCATAGTCTCATTACTACCTTATTATCCATTTTTCAACATGAATAATATGTACGAAGAAATAGGTTTTAAGGGAAATATGGTACAAAGAACAGGAAGCCATAGGTTCAAAGGGTTGGGGCATGGAAAACAACATTAAGGTCCTAATTGTAAAGACTAGAAGGATGAAAGAGGAATGAAAGGAATGGCAGAGTATAGTAAGAACAGAAAAAATCCAACAGAAATAGGAAAACAGTAGAAAGTGCCACCTGGTAACCAGCAGTAGTACAGAACTACAAACCCTGGTTGGAGAGCCAAGTGAAGATCTCGCAGATGAGGAACAGAAGGACAAAGAGTGGAAAAAGAATGACAAAAAATATACCACTTTCAGTGATACACCATGAGGGAGGATGGCAAAATAGAATGAGAAAGGATAGGAGCAGAGTAATGGGTGGGAGGGACAGGGAAAGGATAGGATGCAGAAAAACAGAAGACTGTAATGGGAAAAGAAAGAACTTAGGAGACAAGGAAACATATTGGTGCGCAACCTCAACCCATGACTACAAAGAATCAGGTCCTCCACCAAAAACACCTTGGCAGAGGAAAGGAGCCAGATGAATGACCCAGAGATAGGGGGTGGGGTGCAAACGTACCTGAGGAAGAAGGGCATCCCTCCCAAACAAATCCCAGAAATAGAGCAACCGAGTCAGAAGGGACAAAGCTGAGGAAGAAGAATGCACCAATGTAGAGAACATAAGGGAACTATTATTTGCCAAAAAACCCTCAGCGGAACAGTGAATTGCTTTGGAGGAAAAGCTGAATGGAGGAAACATATTGCAACAGGGTAGGGAGGGCAAGATGAAGGCATGATAATTGGGCCTGAGAATAGGCATAGTTTTCATCCAGGCAAGGAGGACAAAGCATGCCAGCACCAGAGTGAAGTTGTGAAACAAATAGTTCAGTATGGAATTAAATACCTGGAGAGGGAGGAAAAACATACCTGTCAGAAACAGGGGACAAATGAAAAATGAAGGAGAAAAATCATACAAAACAAGAGAAAGAGAGAAGGTAGCATACCTGAGAAACCATGTCCAGAAAAGATGAAGAAGGCCTAGATAGGTCTAAGACAGTAGTGGTAGAAGAGTTGGCAAAGGTAGGTGGTGGTAAGATATTTTGAAAATCATCAGCATTACAAATGGGATTCATAGGAGGAGTTATATCTGTATCAAGTTTAGAATAAGGTCATGCCCACATGAAAGAATTTATCTCCAGTTGCACAATACCTGTCACTTCCTCAACAGACAAAGGGGAACTCGACACCATTGTAGTTGTTTGTCCAGCATGAACAATGTCTTATTGTCCCACACCAGACAAAGTGAAGTAACATGACTTACAATTTCATATTGTGGAAATAAAAGGCCAAAAAATCTGCAGGTGCAGCAAATTTGAAACTAAAATCTAAAGTTAATCTTTCCACAACAATGGAATTTTTTTTGTAGATACTTCCATAATTAACACCAATATTAAAAATCTAACAAGTGGAAAAAAAGGAAACATCTTTACACACAAGTTCCAAATTGAGAAGTGATGACTGAACAATCAGTACAGAAAGAGTTAGATGCACTAGAAAGCTGTGTTGCACTTCTATTGGTGGAGGATTGTTGCATGCTCATTTGCATGCAATGATGCAGCAATATCACATGGAAACAATCAAGTAAATATACACAATTTATTACAAAATATAAGTCTAATAGGTTGAGTTTAAAAGTTATAACTGTAAATGTAGAAGTCTAACCTTGGGGTAGCTGATGAAGAAAGGTTATAAATCCTTCAAATGAGTCTAGCTACATTAGCTAGTCAGGATTTTAAAAAAGCATTAATTAAAAACAGTGTTCCTCAAACCAATGATATCAAGTAAACATCTACTAGATTCTTAATAATGACCATTCAACATGGCTGACAGGTAGTCAATTTCTTTTTTTTTTCAGAAAAAAAAGGCCTACATGATTGTTATTTAAGTTTAACTGTTTATCACAATAAATTATATAATCGTACTAACTGTGGTAAAAAAATAGCCAATCTAAGTTTAACTGTTTATCACAATAAATTATATAATCATACTTATAGTGGTCAAAAAATAGCCAATTTAAGTTTAACTGTTTATCACAATGAATTATATAATCATACGTACAATACTTGCATTGTACTGAATCTTTAAAATTGTAATTAAAAAAGTACATTAGATTAGGTTTAAAACTACTTGTTATCTCCTAAGTTGTAAAATAATCTGAAGTGTTTTCTTGGTTTTATATAGTTTTAAACACACTACAAGAGCTCTTCACGTCTTTAGTTACAGATAATGGTTTCAGTAAGATAAACACATACACAGATATAATCTGAATTTATAAACTGTTTTTAAATTTAAAAATTCCCCAAAAGTCTGGATTTTGATAATGAATTGCAACATTTTAAATTTTTTAAAATTTTGCTTTTTAAGAAATATGGAAGATTCACTGCAGAAAGTTGTTTGAAGGGCAACCTATAGCCTCCAGTATTTACTGACACCAAAAGAAACAAAATAATTGTGCTGGTACCATGATATGCCACTTGTATGTTACTGTTTAAATAAGTTAGTTAAGATAATTACATGAATACAAAAAATAAGAAAACAATATAATAATTTTAAACTATATTCAAAAACATTGTTCATGATGTAATTTGAAAACACTGAAAAAAATCAGAAAATAAATCTAAGTCTATAAATTACCAAAAATTCTTAAAAGATTGTAATAAATTAAATGATCAAACAATCAAATATGGACAAACTAATGCTTTAGCCAGATAACTGAATGGTTAAACCCACCCAATTTTAATACAGTTTTCCACTTAGAATGTTTTTTTTTTTATTATAAAAGACAAGGTGAACACTGCATCTTATTATGAGAAAATATTTAAAAACTATAATGTTTTAAGTTTTCAAATGTCAAGAAAACTGGAATTTGCATATTATTTTTGTTAAATCTAATAAAAATAAAAGATCTTTGAATTCATATTAGAAAGACATTTTTACACATACTGAAATTGTGCCTTCTCAATGTGGTCTATTTGTTTTGGTTGGTATATAAATGTACATATGTTAATATAGAGAAATACACACATAACTAATATAAACTCAACCACAAGAACAGGTTACTAACTTATATGATAAACCTTAAGACTGTGTTTCTTCAGATGATGAGTTTGGACCCCATACACCAGGGAAATAATCTAGTCCTGCTGTCTGTCTTTATGTCTTCAGGATCAATCCACGAGTTACATACATTGTTCAGAAATAACTGTGTACATTTAGGACTTTAAACCCCTAATATTTATGTGATTACTAAATAATATCAAATATTAGTATATTTAATGATCATATATAAATATAACTTCCCTTACCCTAAGGTTTGGACTTTCATCAAGCAATATCTCATGCAACCACTACATTTTCCTTACTACAAATATACACCCACCAGCTCAAATAAATTTACTATAATTAAATCATTATGGTTTGTCAAAGAGATTAAAAAAATTGTTGGAGACTGAAATGGAGTTGAAAACGACTCAGTTCAGTACACATAGAAACACTTTTCTAACTGCATTTCAATATGAAATATGCAGTAAGTTGAGCTAAATATGTAAATTTCTTGTTCTGAGTTAACAACAGTGTATCATACAGCTCTGTATGACACCCGAACCCAAAACAGCCAGCTAAGTTTGTAAACAAAGACAAAAATTTCATCATTTTTTAAAAATATCATGCATCTTCTTATGATGCAAAAAGAACAATAATAATATGTAGGCAAACAATAAGGTATAAGCATATGGAAGAATTTTACCAACATATAACATACAAGACTTTTCAACAGAACATTGGTCTGTCTTCTGCATGCATGTTATACTAGCATAATATGCTTCCTTATTCAAGTATAAAAAACATGATATGCTTAAACACCAACAAACTTACATGTAGAACAACACAAAAAAACAGTCAAGAAACAATAAAAGTATTTTCTGTTAATTTTTTTATTTTATTCGTGCACATTATCCGTGATATATATATATATAAAGTGCACCTCAGTCCTAGCCACACTAACCCCTCAGTACATTACAGAAACTTACCTTTCATAGGTAAGCTCATCTTCTGTACAAAAGTAATGAATTGAAGTTGTAGACTTCGGTTTTCCTGTGGACTTTAATGTAGCAAAGTAGAGTCGATCTGGAAAAAATAAAAACAGTACATATTGTTTCTAGCAAACCTAAAATCTAGATTTAAAGTATTAATGATGAGAAAAATCAGTCAGTTGCTCAAAGTTTCACAAGTGTTACATTTTTTTCTGAAAGGAGTATATAAATATTTTATGTATTAACCTGAAACAAACATGAATATAAAACCTAGAACTTTAACAGAGTTTGTCTCAATATATCTTAAAACATTTCTTGCACCTCTTAACAGTAAAATTAATATGATATTCTAAACACATAGTATATTATCTAAATGTTAGAGTAGTTTAAATACACTTACATGCATTCTGGTAATTAAAACTGTTTAACTAAGAATATGAGCATTCATTACAAAACTCCCAAAAATATTATTTTTACAGTATGAATACATACACCTTTCTTTGTTAAGAGAAAACTCAGACATATATAATATGACGTTTTAAACTTGTTGAGCTTTTAGCAATTTGTACTACCCAGCCATTCTCCCATTCCTTTTAATATAACATTTTTAGTCTAACTGTACAAGATATGCTCTTGTTCCTCAAAGTTACAAGACCCTCCTTTGACATGCTCATTAGAATATCTGCAGAGTTCTCAACAGACCCTGCTTGAAACATTTTTAATACAGAGGTATTACATGGATCTCAACCAAGCACGTGGGCTCTGTGGTAGCCCACACACCACCTACCTATAGTCAAGCATTTTACAAATTTCTAGAGAGAATACTGAAATAATAATTCCAGATTTACTTATCCATTTTATTCCTTTTATTAATCACATGGTTCCTTCTAAATTCTAAGGAAATATATCTTGTCTTCCAAAACAGTCTTTCACTATTCTGGAATAGCTGACTGCATGAAGCCTTTAAGTGTAAAATGGTAAAAAACAGTGGAGTAAAGATTTACATAATTTAAGTCTGAAAAAAATTTCAAGTGTATTTATTACAACTGAATACTAGTATTAAAATACTGCAATTAGAGAGAGAGGGTTCAAATAAAGACATATGTGGGAATAACTAGGTATAAATATGTGTGTAATTAAATTTAAATACCATTAAAATATTTAAATTAAAACATTTCTATGTTCTTCTTTATTCACATTATTTTGCTTTCTTAAAAGTATTTAGCTGTATCAATTAAATACAATAGCTAAATTTTGATTAATTTCATAAACAACACTTTAAATGCCCTTTTGCTTTTGTAATAAAACAAATATCTGTCTCCAACCTGCCAATGTAACTGGAGGTGATAAGTAACACAGGATCAAGCAACATAGCAGTGTTGATTTGTAATTATGAAATCTTTCTTTTACCCATGCTTTGCTTTGAATAAATGAGTTAGATAACCAAACAAAAACCACACATAGTTTCAACTAAAATGACAATGTTTCCTACATTGAAATATCCAACTTTTTGTTCAATTAGACAAAGTAAATGAAGCCTTTTCTTTTTTCTGTAAATGTTAAATCATTATAAATGCAGTACTTTCACAAAATGTCTGGTCTTATAACAGCTAGAAAAAATTACTTTAGAACCATAAGATAGGTATTTCTTATACAAATAACATTTCAATCTGTTTTTTTGCATTAAATGTGTTCCCCGCAGAGTAGAGTTCTCAACATCTTTCTTTCCTCATGAAACCCTTCAAGAGTCAAAGACAATCCTATAGAACCCCATACATCTAGGTCTTATCTACAGATGATGATGATGCTAGTGTATAAGAGCAGCATTGAAATGAAATAAGTAAGTAAGTTAATGAAAATTTTCAAATAAAACATTTTCATTTAATTAACCATAGTATAATTTCTATTTTTTTTAATTACAATACAGAAACTTAATTTTTATATTTATAAATCCCCTTTAGAATGCTTATGGACTTCCACAGGTTGAGGTCAATGGGTATAGTGTCACAATAATTATGCAGATTAACTCAAAGAAAAAAAAAAGACCTCAAAACACATTTTATTTTGAATCAATCCCTGAAGTATATATATATATTTTGCTTCTGTTCTATTCAAAAAATTACATTTCATTGAAAAAAATAAGATATTTATATTTCAAAGGAATGCAATCTTAGGTCAACTAACACTGGAAATATCTTATGTTGTATATTACCATCTATGAATTAATGGTCAGTTTATTCAACAACCAGTGCAGTACAAACAAAAGAATAAGTGCATATTTAAATTTTTATTTTATAAAAATATGATTATATATAATTGTTAAATTATGTTTTAAGAAGTACTTTTTAATATTGTTAGTAACCTTGTGGCTTTTTTTTAAATAGTTAAAGCTCTTTAATAAAAAATTCAATTTTACATAGAACATTCCCATAAAACTTAAGACACGCCTACAGTCTATATAGTTTCCTTTACCACCAGTTTATTAGTCATAAGAACCAGACATACTTCATTATGTTAAGTATAACTTCAATAGATATTTAGCTTAACCTCAGAAGAAACACCATTAATTAAAAATTGATTATGACTCATATATTCAATTTCTAAATAGAAAAGGTATGATAACTACCTCAGGTATTCATATAACAAAATTGTTTTGAGGAAAGATTTTATAACTCAAAGGCAAGTTATATATGTAGTCTTGAAATAAGTACTACAGAAGAGGCTTACTTAATCTTTGTGTTCAGCAGTTATTGCTAATGTCATTTGCCTCAAAAACTCACAGTTTTGATTTGACTGTTGACAAATACTCTACTTAAAAATTTATTTATTTTAAAACTTGACTGAGTGGGTCACAAAAATGTAATACATTACAATCTGGGAAGTTAAAGACATGAACTCATGCATGCCGGATTTAAAATTTAATTTTGAAAATAGGAATTACAAAAAAAACAAAAACTTAAGCCTATTTAACCTACCTTTGATATATTCTGCTGTATGTACAGCAAAAACACTGAGAGACATTTCATCCATAATATCACTCATTTATCAGGACACTTGGATCTGTGAAGCTGTTTGATGAATGCAAGAGTCCAGTTCTTATGCAGTATTATGTCTTGAAGTTGATAACAGTTGAACTAAAAACTCGTTTCAACTATCACTCACAACGAAATGGTTGCAAAAAACTAACTCAATCAAGTTAATGATTATTCACGACATTATAAAAGATGAAGAAAACGGAAAACTCTAGTTTCCGCTTTTAATATTGTGACCAGAACTACTTGTTTTTTCATGCTATTAATATTATTCCTAGTTAAGGTCTATTAACACTCTTAGTAAGTAATAGTATAGAAACTAAAACGTCGTCCTAATTTTACGTTAGAAAGAACCAGCAATCCATTAAACTTAAATTTAAAAAAAAATACTATACAGAATGTTAAGTTTAACCAGTTTTAACAGTGGTTGAAAGTCGTTCAGTAAAATACAGCCACGGCTTACACAAACTGAAACCTTATTAACTGAACTTTTAAGTATTTTAAAGTCTAAATTAAGAGTTAAGATTTGAACTTTTGTAAATCATATCCCTATTTACACTGGTGAGTATTTGTAAACTGTGTTCAAATTCAACTTATTCTCAAACAAAATAAGAAAGAGATGATCAAAAATCTATCTTTCCAAAAAGATCATCTCAAAAAATGAATGAATGAAAAAGTTGTCCTTATTCGTTTTTTTCAACAATTGGGGATACCCACGCTTGAACTCGTATTTAAAAATAATTAAAACTGAAAGTAAAAATAAAACACCCGACAGATTATGACGACAGATGTTTAACTAAACATTACTTTGACACATTAATTATTGCTTTATAACATAGTTCTGATAATCCAAGTCATTATCACTATGTAATTTGAATTAAGTCGTTATTTTGCGCTGTCTCAATTACAAAATTAATACAAAAAACAATAGAAATTTACAAAATACATCATCAGCTGCAATCAACTTCCCACTCAGCCATTTTCCTCTCGAAACTATTCGTGTCAATTCAAACGAGTCTATAGTTAATTGCTGTACATCACGTGCTTGTTTCCACCAATACCAAATCACTATTTCCAAGCGACAACTAGTGAGCGACACCTGCTCTCTTGAAATACGTGATAATAAATTTTTAACAAAACATGATTTTCTTTTATGTAACAAGAACAGAAATTTAATATCAATTATTTAGTAAATCAAGTTATTTGCCAAAATTTCATAATACACGATTAATATTTTCAGAAAACAACTTCACATAGAAATACAGTTCTATATAATTTATTTCAAAACGAAAAACAAAACAAAAACAACCATGATTGACGAATTTAGACAAAGACCTAAATTACGAAGTAGAAGTGTCGTCTGCTTATCACGACTACGTTTGTTGACCGATCTCAATCCTGTGGAATGTCATAAGATTTTACCACATGATATCCCCGGGGGACAACTGTATGTCTCTGTGCCCTCATTTTACACTTATAATTTTGGGCCAATCTCAACCAAACTTGGTTTGTACCCTTAAAGTACCCTGGGTAGTAATATACAATTCACCATTCGGATCGGTCCCTCCCCCATCTCATCCTTCTGGGGCCCCTATTTATTCCCCGTGCTATTCTGTTGATATCTACCAATCTTCAAAGGCATCCTTAGACCAACACTGAGAGGGACATATTAGAGATGGCGCTCAAGTTTGACTCGTATTCACCCCTTATTATTCTGTTAGTCTCTATCAAATTTAAAGGCATACTTAGAACACCACAGGAAACGACATAGAAGGTCGTCATTTGGACTTGTTCACCCTATATCACCACACGATGCCACTATGTTTCCCCCTGCGTTGGACGGATATGTCTGCTATAGTATAGAAATAAGGTATATGTCGTAGCTGTAAAAAAATATATAAAAAACTGAAATTAAATTGACTTTACATGGAGTTTACAAACAGTAGTTGATTTAAAGTGAACATGAAATTCAAATCTACAGAAATCTCTTAAAAAGTGGTTCGTCAACTGGTACTAGTCAAAGAAAATGAAATTTGGAAACTATATTTTGGCACACTGACCCTCAGTAATAGTTTTAAAGGTCACCCTAAGCTTGTGAATAACATGTTTTTGCTTTAATTAATAAAGTATAGTTATCGTAACTACAATGTTTCAAAATCTACCAGACACTTATTATCGGGTATGAATGAATATGCGATGAAAATATATGATTCAGTCAATAAGTTAAAAAGAAATGTTTTAAAATAAAAGCTTGTTATCTGAGACCAGGTGGAATAGTCTGTACAAGACTCACAGGTCATTTTTAGCCACAATATCACAGCCCCAAGTGTGACCTAGGCCATCCAAGACTGGCTGAGAAGAAATGGAAGTGTCATTTGTAGATGATGCCTGCCAATTAGAGGTGTTTCCCCAGCAGGTGAAACAGTGACACCAACTGTTGAAGACTGTGAACCATGAGGCAATCACGAGTCTCTCTGAGCTAGGAAATATAGTATCAAGACTACAATGATTTGCAAAGAAACCTGAAGTCATGGAGAGCTTGTAGATGAGCTGCTGAGAGCAACTTGCCACTCTGTCAACCTAGAAAGAACAACTACTCCATCAAGGGTCAGCATCCCTGAATATGCCTAATTCACCATACCTGTGGTGTTAGCTGCATTTCACCAGTTATTGGCAAAGAACCTACAAGGAAGAGACTTTAGTTGAAATCATAAGTTTCTGTGAGTGAAGCAAGGCAGATTTTGTCCCAATGCTCAAATGTGCTGTGAAAGAAGCTCTAGGTTGTTTCCTGGAGCATTTCAGGTAACTGCTTGGAATGGCTGGTCTCTGTAGCAGGTAGTTCAACCAATACTTGATCATCAACCTGAATAATCTGGCACTGGACTTCACTGAGTACTTGAGTAAGGTACCACTTGAAGACTGGAAGCAACCCATTGGGCTGAGTGAAAGCTTCGTAAGAAGAATGTCACTGAAAGTCTCGCTACTTACTTGGGCAATTTGTACTTTGCATGGCAAGGCACACTCTGCAATGACTTCTGTATATTGAAAAAACATTAGCAGATATGTTTTTCTAGAACTTCCAGGAGAAACAATGAGGTGTCGCCTGAGTGTGTGAGAGATGTTCTCACCCTTACAGGGGCTGTTTACATCATGACAAGTTATGAAATGGTAACTTCAAACTGACTGCAGGAGAAGAAAAATTCTACAGTAGTAGATGCTATAGCAGTATCTCAGATGGACCATCCTATCCGGGTACCTCCACCTTATTGAGCTCAAGCTATGCAGAGGATCAACCAGACACCTACACATCCAGGTGCTGTGATAAAACTACATTCGTTTCTAAAATAGACAGGGCTATGATGCCTCTGTCGATAAGTTATTCTGCAAGAGAGGAACAAAGCATATGCTTTGGGTTTGGTATGTTGGGTTGCTATCTTGTGAACTGCTTGAACTTTGTCAAGCAGTATGGTAGGCAAGGTTATTAAAAATAGCTTAGCAAAAGCAGAACCAACAGCACCCATACTATATCAAGCAGCATGATGGGCAGTACTATAAATTCCTATCCACGAGTTAGCAGACCCAGTAAAACTAACAGAAAGTGGTAATTGTTGCTGCTACTGTCCTGAGAAACGAAGGAAGCCAAATTCGGACTTGTCGCCAACTTGGGAAAGCGTGGTAGACAGCTTACATTGAAACAAACCTATTGTTAAATACCTGTAAGTTTACAATTGTAATATCTCGAATTACTAGTTGATAAAACGATGGCAGAAAAAACTTAAAGTATATCAGAGCCTCCAAGTAAAACCATCACTCAAAACAGTGGATATCAACTTCATTCTGGTGAATGGTGATAGTCCAGATGTAAATGGAGAGGCGGATCTCTATTTCACAGAATAAATGTCTTCAGTTCTGACATTGTTATCCTCAGGATAGATATACTGTGGGCATTTTTGGTCAGTTTTGCTTGTGCAACTGGTGAATTGATGTTTCATGGAAGAGTTATCCTATGTCAACCAGATTGAGCTCAGTAATAGTGAACTGCAGGTGTGTGTATGAGGTAAATGAATTACAGTATGACTATATACACAAGTAGTGTTCTGTAGTTTACTACAGGTAAGTCTAGTGTGTTAGTACCATGTAACATGGTTTTATAGCCCATGCATGAAAATGAACTCCATCCTTTCTAGAAAACAAGCAGCATTAGCTCTGGCAGTTATCTGTTCAAATAAGGATAAATTCTGGTGTTATTTTGTAATTCTTGGCGATTGGTTAACTAGCTTCATGCTGGAATGGTCATTGTCACTGTGAGCAAAATGGAAGTAATTGTAACAGTATTGTTGCGTCAGCGAGGTCACGTGACTAGTATCACGCCACCCCTTTCTAGAAATATCCTGTTCCTTCAAGAATGCCCTAGCATTTACTAGATATGTGTTAGTCTAGTATATATAAGACGTTCACAACGTGACGGGAACAGTGTAATGAGTAATTGAACTGCAGTCAGAGAGTGTGTAATTGAACTGAGTATTGTCGAGCACGAGCACGTGAGACGTTCTTTGAGTTATAGCGTTGTTATAGAGCGACTGTTGAAATTAAGTGTATCGCAAAGTTATATTCAGAAAGAATAAACCAGTTTTATTTAAGAAAGGACTTGTGTCGCTAAAGTTTCGTCGGAACGAATTTACGGAAAATTAATTAACGAACGGAGACGTAACAGTATTATTGGTTGATTTGCATCTGTTACACAACATTCAAAAGTGAGTACATGGCTGCCAACACATGAGCTTTCTGGTTAAGACTTTTGCAAGCAATCTAGACTTAATGCTGTGAAAGCATTTCAGTAACTTATTTATTGAATATGCCAAAAGCATTTTGGAACAAGATGTCTGATTAGCTAAAACAACAGACTCGCCATAATATTAATATGGGCAATGTACATTCAACAAAGTAAATGCCTCACCAGCTTCCATGAAACACTAGAAATGCTGCACAGTAAGACCCTCTCCATTTGTTGAATGTCTTGGACACCATGTGGAAGTTGAAAACTTTTCTAAAGTAGCACCATTGAACCATATAATAGGAGCTTCCACTGGTGGATGGATGGCATGGTACTATTGTGAAAGCTATGGGATGAGAAACTGTTACATAGCTCCTTGCTATGCAACAAACTAAAGCTCCTTCAGCAAAAATAGAGGAACTTAACATGTATGTACGTAAACTTTCGCTCTTGTATGGTCAGTTGCAAGTACGACAATGCGTGCTTTATCACTGTTATCAACCACAGTGTTGTGTTGCTCAGACTGCACTGCAAATAGTTCCCAGAGCTCTAAGGCACAATATTTTCCAGACTTTTGCATAACATAAAGATGGGAAAACTCCATGGTGCTACCCATATTTCTGCTGGTAGTTCTACTGGACATATTCGAATCGAGATGTTTAAAACTGGTGTGAACATTGTACAGTGTGTACTCTAGCAAAGAATGACTGGATTTCCTCTCCAGGGAATAGTCCTGGATTTTGCTGGTCCACCCCCCCCCCCATAAAATGTAGTTATAAGCACATACCTATTGTCATTGAATACTTCATGATGTGAATTGAGGTTTATCCATTGGTTAATACCTTGGTAAAGTTCATACTGATGTGTTGGCAGAGCACTAGGTAGCATGGAACATCAGAAGAAATCCACATTGATCAGCGAGCTAATTTCAGCATCCAATTGTTCTTTGAGGTATGTAATTAGGTATAGTGAAACTTTGCACTTCACGTTATCAGCCCAGTCTTATTGTATGCTTCCATTTGTTAATCCTGACCAAACTGACTGAGGTAAACACTTAACATACATCATGATGGCATACAAAACTAATGAGCAGAGAAGTACAGGCTGTTTACCAAACATGCTCATGTGGGAAATCCTGCTTCATATCAATGTAATGTGTTATTCTTCCTCTAGAGTGGACATTTCACAATAT